TCACCTTCAGTCTGTGTATGACTTCAAGGTGAGACTTCAAGATGAGTCTCTTGTAGGCAGCAAATTGTTGGATCTTTTTTTAAAATCCAGTCTACTAGCCTATGTCTTTTGATTGGTGAGTTTAAGCCATTAACATTTAGGGTTACTATTGAGATATGGTTTGTACTTCCAGCCATATTTGTTTATTTTTGTTACTTAACATGATTTGTTTTTCCCCTTTGATTAGTTTTTCCTTTACTGTACTATCTCCCACTATTGGTTTTCATTGTTATTTTTAATTTCCTCTTCATGTAATGTTTTGCCAAGGATGTTTTGCAGTGCTGGTTTTCTACTGCAAATTCTTTTAACTTTTGTTTATTGTGGAAGGTTTTTATTTCATCTTCAATCCTGAAGCTTAATTTTGCTGGATACAAGATTCTTGGTTGGAACTCATTATCTTTCAGCATTTGAAATATGTTGTTCCAGGATCTTCTAGCTTTCAGGGTCTGTGTTGAAAGATCAGCCGTTAACCTGATTGGTTTACCCCTAAATGTAATCTGCTTCCTTTCTCTTGTCACTTTTAAAATTCTCTCCTTATTCTGTATGTTGGGCATCTTCATTAAAATGTGTCTTGGTGTAGATCTCTTGTGATTTTGCACATTTGGCGCACTGTAGGCTTCTGGGATTTGGATTTCTGTTTCATTTTTCAAGTCTGGGAAGTTTTCTAATATTATTTCATTGAACAGATTGCTCATTCCTTTGGTTTGGACCTCTATGCCTTCCTGTATCCCAATAACTCTTAAATTTGGTCTCTTTATGCTATCCTATATTTCTTGGATGTTCTGTTGTGGTTTCTTATCAGTCTCACTGAGCTATCTACATTCTTTTTGAGATGATATACTTTGTCTTCGTTGTCTGATGTTCTATTTTCTAAGTGTTCTACTCTGCTGGTGATACTCTCATTTGAGTTTATAATTTGGTTTATTATTTCCTTCATTTCCAGGATTTCTGTTTGTTTTTTGTATAATCTCTATCTCCTTATAGAGTTGATCTTTTGCTTCTTGGATTTGTTTATGTAGTTCATTATCAAAGTGATCTTTCATTGTCTGAATTTGCTGTATAATGTCTTCCTTGAGATTCCAGATCATCTGAAGCATGTATATCCTGAAATCTTTATCTGACATTCCTTCTGCTGCAGATGTTACCTCTTCTAATGTGCCTTGTCCTGCATTGTTTGTGGTCCTTTCTTTCCTTGTCTTTTCATACTGCTCACGTTTCTTTCCAGCTTTGTGTAACTGTTGTGTTAATGATTTTCCCCTATATATTTATATTGCTCTTGTATAGTTCCAAAATCTCTCTTTTATGGAGAAAGACAATGTTAACAGTTCCCAATATCAATAGGACATCCTCTATGTGCAAGTTTCCATTATTAATACACTTATAGTTAGACTCTATGTCTACAGATGTTGGCTTCAATTATTATTTAAAATATAGTCATTAGTTTCATAAAAGGCATTCCATTTCTGGTGGCGTATAGAGTACTGAGGGTCAGGTATAGGATGTTATGTTCAGGGGGAAAGGAGTAAGGGTATGGGGTTAATCTAACTTAGCAACTTTGGAGGAGAGCTCTATTGAATAGACAGGGGTAATTTACAGAAGAATGTATAAATTCAAACTCCTATCTGTATTTAGAAAATTACCCTATGTATAAATAGTAAAAGTTAGGGGGTTTAAAGTGGAATATAGGGAGGAAGAAGGAAAAAAATATCAAGGAAAGAAAGAAAAAAAGAGAGAGGGAGAAAGAAAATAAGAAGAAAAAAAGGGGGGGAGGTGGGGCATATGCAGTTCCTCTATATTATATTATTCTGGTGATTCATTTGTTAAAGTCCTATTTCATGCAAAGTTCTTGGTTTCTCATATGTTGATGTTTTGAGGACCAGAGGGGGAAGGGTAAAGGAAAATGGATAAGAAGAGAGAGAGAAGAAAAGAAAGCAAAAAAAAAAAAAAAATCTCTCAGAACTCTGTTTTCTTTTCTTCCTGTAGGTGGAGTTGTCTATTCCTGGCTTGAGTCTCTGTGCTCAGGGTGGTGGAGGTAGCCAGTGTGAGAGGACTTAAGCTTCCACCTGGAGCCTCCCTACTCTTAGTGTCTGAGGTAGAAACCAGGTGCCTGTACAGTTGCTGTTCTTCGTTGATAGCTACACTCCCCAAAAGCTTGTGAGAAAAATTTTGAGTTATCACATCTTGGGGTGGGGGAGTTGGAAACCAGGTACCTGATCAGCCGCAGAACTGCCCCAGTAGCCATGCCCACCAATTGATGGAGAGTAAGGTTTTCCAAGATGGATTCCGTCTGTTTTCTGTGTAGGGTGTTTGGTAAGGTGGGGGGTGCTGGGGTGACCTTGTGCTTTGTCCAGAGCTCGGTCTGGTGACTTGCAAACAAATCTTCTGTGTTCTGCGTCGAGCACCATGCAGCTCCAACTCCCATCTGTTCCCAAGAATAGAATTTAGAATTTCAAAATGTGAATATAGTGAGGATGCAGAAGAGATACGGTAAGTCATGATTAGAAAGGAAGAGGAGAAAAGATAGGTAAAACAAAGTAAAGGGAGAGAGAAAGATAGAAGAGGAGAATATGGTGTTAAGTGGACAAAGGAGAGAAAGAAAAACACAGCAAACAAACAAAAATAGAACAAAACCAAAATAAACCAACCCAAACCTGCAAACTTCAAAAACAAGGCAAGGAAAAATAACTGTCATTTTAAAAAAATGCTATGAAGGAGAAAATAGAAATAAATAAATAAATAAATAAATAAATATATATATATATATATATATATATATATATATATATATATATAAATATCCAGAACCAAACAGCACAGGAAGAAAACACACACACACACACACACACATACATGAAAAAGGGAAAGAAAAAAATGAAAGAAAAAAGGGAAAAATTATTCCATTTTATTTTACTTTTTAGTTCATTTTAGGTATACATAATCTTAGGGGTTCATTGTGACATAATTATATAAGAATGGAATATAATTTACTCTAGTATAGTCCCCAGTACCTCTCCTTTTCCTCACCTTTTGTCTTCTCTGTTCCCTTTCCTTTGTTGATTTTTCTTGTATTTATTTATTATTATTATTTTAAAATTGGTGCCTTGTGCATATACATGAAGGTGAGAGTCACTGTGGTATATTCCTATGTGTATATAGGAAAGTTTGGTGAAACTTATTACACTGTTCTTCCCCATTTCCATCCCACCACTCTCTCCCTTAATCCCCTTCCTCTATTTCCTGATCTCTGTTCAGGTCCATGGTAAAAAGATTCTTAATGAAACATTGAAGAATCGTCTCCACTGAAATGTTCAAAACAGTTGATGAGAATGGAAAGTCACTGTCTATGCCCAACTGTCTTTCCTTCTATTTCTTCTTGGGTGAGAGAGAGAGAGAGAGAGAGAGAGAGAGAGAGAGAGAGAGAGAGAGAGAGAGAGAGAGAGAGAGACAATGATAGAGGGGGAGGGGCTGGGAGAGGGGGACAGTTTATCTTCTAGGACTGGGGATTCTTGACTCCTTCTTTTGTGTTGCTCCCTGAGCTGCCAGTTGGAGTGGTCTAAAACTGAAGCTGATTGAAATAGCTCTCAGCTTTCCTTCTCACCAGTAAAAGGTAGGATGGAATAGGAAGTACTGTTAGTTGGAGTTTTTTCTTCACAGAACAGATTGATGCACTCCTGGGTGGGACTGTTTCAGAGTTCTGTGAGGGAAATTCTGTCATCTGGGTTTTAGGTAGGTATAATCAGGCCTTAGTAGATCTGTTGGGTGGTATCAACACTTTCCTAGTGCCAGGCAGATGCTGATCTCTGCTAAGAGTCTTGATCTCAGGAGTCTCCCAGGAATTTTACTCAAGGGGTGGAGGAGTCAATCTTCCCCACATTCTGTTGCCCATGAATACAGCCTTTCTAGGTTTAGTCTCAGAGTGTATTCATACCCACCTGTTCAGTTTCCTGACCGTCTTCAGTTGATCATGTGAGATGCCAGACTCGAAGGAGAGTAAGTCAATCTAATTTACAGTTATTATTATTATTAATTGCTCCTGGAAGTTGCTGACTCCATCATTTCTCATTTTATGAGAATTAGTGTTGTAGCTGTCATAGTAGGCACCAGGTATTTATTTTAATGCTATATATTGATGGCTTTGTTTGTTGCTATTATTTGTTTTCCCTTCATTGTTTCTGACTTGAATCACCCTTGGTACAATCTTCTTTGTGCCTGTTTCACTGACGTTCTACTAGGTACACCCTAGGTCACATGTTAGGCACTTGCTTGAACAGTTCATCAATGTTAGCCATGATCTTTTGGGCTCCTAAAGCATTCTGCTGTCATATATAACTAATTAGAATAAATAAATGAGTATTAGAGATGAGGATGTAGTAAATTGCTTGCCTAACATATGCAAGGCCTTGGATTCATTTCCTGGTACCACAATAAGCAAAGTAAATGGATATTGTTTTAAGCTGCTAGGTCTCTGATATTTTTTTTAATGCAGGAATAAAAACCCAACAAAATAATGAAGGAAAAATAGGTTAATATATAGGCTGGTATTTTGGTATCTTCAGTTTAGACTACTTGAAAATACAGTAAAGTAATTTCTAATTGAAAAAACCTCATTTATTTGTTATGAACCTGACTCTCTATTACTTCTCACTAATAATGCAGAAAAAGTATAGTTTTTTTTGTATTATCTCTCTATTGTCTTTTTTTTTTCAACAAAACTCTTGGTAACTCTTTCTTCCCCTGTATAATGTTTTGTGATATAAATGAATGAATGAATCAAAAGGAGTAGTAACCATAAACATTGCTTTTCACTGTACTCCTTTCTCTTTCCCTGAAACCTCACTAGGAAAACTTGTGAACTAGATAATAATGGAGGAAAAAACCCAAATAAAATATATTCTATATGAGGACATGGAGGAAGTGAAAAACAAATATGTTTCAAACCAAATATATTTCTCACTTGATAGGTTCAAAAAATGCTCCATTTGCGTGTTATGAAGAAATACAAGGTCAAACAGATAGGTTTGGGAACTGTGGTCTTCAAAACCGAAAATTTAAGTTCTGTGGATGGAGGTATGCTGTACAAATATTAATGACATTTTATATTCTATAAGTTTCCTTTTTTGTTTTTATTTCTCCTCAACCTCAAATCTCCAGGCCTGATATCGATCTTGTTCTACAGGCTAAAATTTCATGTAATTTTTAAAACATTATATGTGGATGATCACTAAGCTCCTAAATATAATATAAAATCAAAATTCATTATACTCATTGTACCTTTCCTCTTCAGACTTACTCATCTTTTTTTCATAAAAATAGCATCCCCATTCACTTGTTTGCTTTCCCAAAATGAAGACTGCTAAATTAAGTCCAGTTTCTCCTGATTCTGAAGATCTAGCTCTTTGATGTTTTGGTCATGAGTTTATTTTAACAAAATATTTATTAGGTGCATACTATGTGCCAGATACTGTACATAGTTGTAGTAGGTAGCAAAGCATATTCCTAAGACATAGCATTTGTAAATTAGTAAACATTAGTTTTATGTTTCCTTGATTTGCTTATGCTGTTACTTTTGTTTAGAAATAACTTATTCATCCCAGATGGCATATTTCTTATGAATTTTTCCATAACTGCTAAGTGAGAATGATTCTTATATTAAATTTCTATATGCATTTGTTTTATTTGTAGAAGATTCAATGATATTTGTATCACATTTGATATCAGAATAAGAGGTTCTTAAATGTAGAGGTAACAGTTACTTACCACTCTATCCCTCTACACAGGGATAGAAAATGTTGCAGTGAATTGATTGTTTGACAGTAAATGCACATTAGACACAGTGAATTAACTACCATTAGGACCCATGATAGATAAGTTAAGATCAATGGATTTATACTTTTTTAACTTTCTAAATTCCAGCCCATTAAATTTTCTTTAAGCACATTGCCATAGCCATTTTTTTAATTAAAGAAAGCCAATCCAAAGAATTTCTAATTAATGGCTAATGCCTAATAAGCATATCATTTTACTATGTTTGCAGGAATCTCATATGTGGAAGATTAATTTGTACTTATCCTTTTCACACTCCTTACCATCGAGACAATGCTTCTGTGATTTATGCTTTTGTACGACAGAGTGTATGTATATCTGTGGACACTGGTGATACAGCAAAAGACCCATTTGAAGTCAGAAGTGGTGCTCATTGTGATACTGAGAGGGTAAATGATTTAACATAATTTTCAAAACTATATAGTCTTATTTATTAGTTTAATCAATATTTTATTGAGTTTTAAGTTTTCATTTGCTAATTAGTGCTAAGTAAACTAATTATTTGCAGAAGAAAAACAAAAAGGAGTTGTTATATATACCTTCATTGCCAAGGACTAGAGAGAAGTCTCAATACATTAAACATTTAAAACAAATTTCTGGCTTTGGAAGAGGTTTTGTGAAAGTATTTCTTTGTAGGGAGTTGTACTGTGATTTAATGTTTAAAAGGTAATAATTTTCACAAATATTCTCATTTTTACTTTGGAAGCAAACTTAAATGCTACTTATGTTTGCTAAAATAACTTTGCTCTTTTTTTTTGTTTTTTAAGAAAAAAGTATTATATTTAGGTCAGAAAACTACAACTTAGTGAAGTTGAGATTTCTACAAGTAATTGAGTTAAGAATATATCTTTATTCCTCTGGTTATTATATTCTAAAATAATTAATTATGGATTTTTATTACATTCCATTAAAGTAATATATTTTAATTAAAATATCTATTATGTTATTAAATATTTAAAATTTTCTAATAATAGTTCATATTTTATGAAAACTATACACATGCCATAGTTATATTAAATTTATTTTCTTTCCATGAAAAATTTTGATACATGTAATAAGTACAAGGGTTTTTTTTATTTTTATTTTTTAATTTTTTAATTTTTTTTATTGTTGGTTGTTCAAAACATTACATAGTTCTTGATATATCATATTTCACACTTTGATTCAAGTGGGTTATGAACTCCCATTTTTACCCCGTATACAAATTGCAGAATCACATCAGTTACACATCCATTGACTTACATATTGCCATACTAGTGTCTGTTGTATTCTGCTGCCTTTCCTATCCTCTACTATCCCCCCTCCCCTCCCCTCCCCTCCCCTCTTCTCTCTCTACCCCCTCTACTGTCATTCATTTCTCCCCCTTGTATTATTTTCCCCTTTCCCCTCACTTCCTCTTGTATGAAATTTTGTATAACCCTGAGGGTCTCCTTCCATTTCCATGCAATTTCCCTTCTCTCTCCCTTTCCCTCCCACCTCTCATCCCAGTTTAATGTTAATCTTCTTCTCATGCTCTTCGTCCCTACTCTGTTCTTAGTTACTCTCCTTATATCAAAAAAGACATTTGGCATTTGTTTTTTAGGGATTGGCTAGCTTCACTTAGCATAATCTGCTCTAATGCCATCCATTCATTTCCCTGCAAATTCTATGATTTTGTCATTTTTTAATGCAGAGTAATACTCCATTGTGTATAAATGCCACATTTTTTTTTTATCCATTCGTCTATTGAAGGGCATCTAGGTTGGTTCCACAGTCTTGCTATTGTGAATTGTGCTGCTATGCACATCGATGTAGCAGTGTCCCTGTAGCATGCTCTTTTTAGGTCTTTAGGGAATAGACCGAGAAGGGGAATAGCTGGGTCAAATGGTGGTTCCATTCCCAGCTTTCCCAGAAATCTCCATACTGCTTTCCAAATTGGCTGCACCAATTTGCAGTCTCACCAGCAATGTACAAGTGTACCCTTTTCCCCACATCCTCGCCAGCACTTGTTGCTGTTTGACTTCATAATGGCTGCCAATCTTACTGGAGTGAGATGGTATCTTAGGGTGGTTTTGATTTGCATTTCTCTGACTGCTAGAGATGGTGAGCATTTTTTCATGTACTTGTTGATTGATTGTATGTCCCCCTCTGAGAAGTGTCTGTTCAGGTCCTTGGCCCATTTGTTGATTGGGTTATTTGTTATCTTATTGTCTAATTTTTTGAATTCTTTGTATACTCTAGATATTAGGGCTCTATCTGAAGTGTGAGGAGTAAAGATTTGTTCCCAGGATGTAGGCTCCCTATTTACCTCTCTTATTGTTTCTTTTGCTGAGAAAACACTTTTTAGTTTGAGTAAGTCCCATTTGTTGATTCTAGTTATTAACTTTTGTGCTATGGGTGTCCTATTGAGGAATTTGGAGCCCGACCCCACAGTATGTAGATCGTAGCCAACTTTTTCTTCTATCAGACGGCGTGTCTCTGATTTGATATCAAGCTCCTTGATCCATTTTGAATTCACTTTTGTGCATGGCGAGAGAAAGGGATTCAGTTTCATTTTGTTGCATATGGATTTCCAGTTTTCCCAGCACCATTTGTTGAAGATGCTATCCTTCCTCCATTGCATGCTTTTAGCCCCTTTATCAAATATAAGACAGTTGTAATTTTGTGGATTGGTCTCTGTGTCCTCTATTCTGTACCATTGGTCCACCCGCCTGTTTTGGTACCAGTACCATGCTGTTTTTGTTACTATTGCTCTGTAGTATAGTTTGAAGTCTGGTATCGCTATACCGCCTGATTCACACTTCCTGCTTAGCATTGTTTTTGCTATTCTGGGTCGTTTATTTTTCCATATGAATTTCATGATTGCTTTCTCTATTTCTACAAGAAATGCCGTTGGGATTTTGATTGGGATTGCGTTAAACCTATAGAGAACTTTTGGTAATATCGCCATTTTGATGATGTTAGTTCTGCCTACCCATGAACAGGGTATATTTTTCCATCTTCTAAGATCTTCTTCTATTTCTCTCTTTGGGGTTCTGTAGTTTTCATTGTATAAGTCTTTCACCTCTTTTGTTAGGTTGATTCCCAAGTATTTTATTTTTTTTGAGGATATTGTGAATGGAGTGGTTGTCCTCATTTCCATTTCAGAGGATTTGTCGCTGATATACAGGAATGCCTTTGATTTATGCGTGTTGATTTTATAGCCTGCCACTTTGCTGAATTCATTTATTAGCTCTAATAGCTTCTTTGTAGAGCCTTTTGGGTCTGCTAGGTATAGAATCATGTCACCTGCAAATAGTGATAATTTAAGTTCTTCTTTTCCTATTTTTGTGCCTTTAATTTCTTTTGTCTGTCTAATTGCTCTGGCCAGTGTTTCGAGAACTATGTTGAACAGAAGTGGTGAGAGAGGGCATCCCTGTCTTGTTCCAGATTTTAGAGGGAATGCCTTCAGTTTTTCTCCATTCAGAATGATACTAGCCTGAGGCTTAGCATAGATTGCTTTTACAATATTGAGGTATGTTCCTGTTATCCCTAGTTTTTCTAGAGTTTTGAACATAAAGGGATGCTGTACTTTGTCGAATGCTTTTTCCGCATCTATCGAGATGATCATATGGTTCTTATTTTTAAGTCTATTGATGTGGTGAATAACATTTATTGATTTCTGTATATTGAACCAGCCTTGCATCCCAGGGATGAATCCTACTTGATCATGGTGCACAATTTTTTTGATATGTTTTTGTATCCGATTCACCAGAATTTTATTGAGGATTTTTGCATCCAGGTTCATTAGAGATATTGGTCTGCAGTTTTCTTTCTTTGAAGTGTCTTTGTCTGGTTTAGGAATCAGGGTGATGTTGGCCTCGTAGAATGAATTTGGAAGTTCTCCCTCTTTTTCTATTTCCTGAAGTAGCTTGAAAAGTATTGGTATTCGTTCCTCCTTAAAGGTTTTGTAAAACTCTGCTGTATACCCATCCGGTCCTGGGCTTTTCTTAGTTGGTAGTCTTTTGATGGTTTCTTCTATTTCCTCAATTGATATTGGTCTGTTTAGGTTGTCTATATCCTCCTGACTCAATCTGGGCAGATCATATGACTTAAGAAATTTATCGATGCCTTCACTATCTTCTAATTTATTGGAGTATAAGGATTCAAAATAATTTCTAATTATCTTCTGTATTTCTGAAGTGTCTGTTGTGATATTGCCTTTTTCATCCCGTATGCTAGTAATTTGAGTTCTCTCTCTTCTTCTCTTCGTTAGCATGGCTAAGGGTCTGTCGATTTTATTTATTTTTTCAAAGAACCAACTTTTAGTTTGTCAATTTTTTCAATTGTTTCTTTTGTTTCGATTTCATTAATTTCAGCTCTGATTTTAATTATTTCTTGCCTTCTACTTCTTTTGCTGTTGCTTTGCTCTTCTTTTTCTAGGATTTTGAGATGAAGTATGAGATCATTTATTTGTTGGTTTTTCCTTTTTTTAAGGAATGAACTCCAAGCAATGAATTTTCCTCTTAGAACTGCTTTCAATGTGTCCCATAGATTCCAATATGTTGTGTCTGTGTTTTCATTTATCTCTAAGAATTTTTAAATTTCCTCCTTGATGTCTTCTATAACCCATTGATCATTCAGTAACCTATTGTTCATTCTCCAAGTGATGCATGATTTTTCCTTCCTTCTTTTATCGTTGATTTTCAGTTTCATTCCATTATGATCAGATAAGATGCATGGTATTATCTCTACTCCTTTATATTGTCTAAGAGTTTCCCTGTGACATAATATATGATCTATTTTTGAGAAGGATCCATGTGCTGCTGAGAAAAAAGTGTAACTGCTTGATGTTGGGTAGTATATTCTATATATGTCAATTAAGTCTAGGTTATTAATTGTGTTATTGAGTTCTATAGTTTCCTTATTCAACTTTTGTTTGGAAGATCTGTCCAGTGGTGATAGAGGTGTGTTGAAGTCTCCCATGATTATTGTATGGTGGTCTATTAGACTCTTGAACTTGAGAAGACTTTGTTTGATGAACATAGCTGCACCATTGTTTGGGGCATATATATTTATGATTCTTATGTCTTGTTGGTGTATGGTTCCCTTGAGCAGTATGTAGTGTCCCTCTTTATCCCTTTTGATTAACTTTGGCTTGAAATCTATTTATTTGATATGAGTATGGACACTCCTGCTTGTTTCCGAAGTCCATATGAGTGATATGATTTTTCCCAACCTGTCACCTTCAGCCTATGTATGTCTTTTCCTATCAAATGCGACTCCTGTAGGCAGCATATTGTTGGGTCTTGTTTTGTGATCCATTCTACTAGCCTGTGTCTCTTAATTGGTGAGTTTAAGCCATTAACATTTAGGGTTATTATTGAGATATGGGTTGTTCTTCCAGCCATATTTGTTTATTTATGTTACTAAACATGGTTTGTTTTCCTCTTTGATTATTTTCCCCCCCTTTAGTGTCCTACCTCCCACTGTTGGTTTTCATTGTTATTTTCCATTTCCTCTTCCTGTAATGTTTTGCCGAGGATGTTTTGAAGAGATGGTTTTCTAGCTGCAAATTCTTTTAACTTTTGTTTATCGTGGAAGGTTTTAATTTCATCTTCCATCCTGAAGCTTAATTTCACTGGAAACACAATTCTTGGTTGGAACCCATTTTCTTTCAGTGTTTGAAATATGTTATTCCAGGATCTTCTAGCTTTCAGAATCTGTGTTGAAAGATCAGCTGTTATCCTGATTGGCTTACCCCTAAGTGTAATCTGCTTCCTTTCTCTTGTAGCTTTTAAAATTCTCTCCTTATTCTGTATGTTGGGCATCTTCATTATAATGTGTCTAGGTGTGGATCTCTTATGATTTTGCACATTCGGCGTCCTGTAGGCTTCTAGGATTTGAGATTCTGTCTCATTCTTCAAGTCTGGGAAGTTTTCTCGTATTATTTCATTGAATAGATTGCTCATTCCTTTGGTTTGAACCTCTATCCCTTCCTGTATCCCAATGACTCTTAAGTTTGGTCTCTTGATGTTATCCCATATTTCTTGGATGTTCTGCTCATGGTTTCTTAACAGTCTTGCTGAGCTGTCTATGTTCTTTTTAAGTTGAAATACTTTGTCTTCATTGTCTGATGTTCTATCTTCTAAGTGTTCTACTCTGCTGGTAGTATTCTCAATTGAGTTTTTAAGTTGGTTTATTGCTTCCTGCATTTCTAGGATTTCTGTCTGTTTGTTTTTTATAACCTCTATCTCCCTGTATAGTTGATCTTTTGCTTCTTGGATTTGTTTATGTAATTCATTGTTGAAGTGATCTTTCATTGTCTGATTTTGCTGTCTGATGTCTTCCTTGAGACTCCAGGTCATCTGAAGCATGTATATCCTGAATTCTTTATCTGACATTCCATCTGCTGCAGATATTACCTCTTCCAACGTTGAGTTGACCTGCATTGCTTGTGGTCCTTTCTTTCCTTGTCTCTTCTTACTGTTCGCGTTTCTTTCTGCTTGGTGAAACTGTTGTGCTATTGAATTTTCCCCCTATATATTTATATTGCTCTTGTATAGTTGCAAAGTCTCCCTCGCAGGCGCGGGCGGCGGCTCTTCCCCTCCTCCAATTGGGGCGATGTGCCTACCACGCCAGCAGGCTGCTGGGCCTGTTCTGCCGGTCGGTAGCAGGTCCGCCTACCTTGCAGGCGCGGGCGGCGGCTCTGCCCCTCTGCAGGCCGCTGGGCCTGTTCTGCCGGTGGGTCGCAGGTCCGCCTACCTTGCAGTCGCGTGGTGGGGCGGCTCTACCCTTCCGCAGGCCACTGGGCCTGTTCTGTCTGTCGGTTGCAGGTCTGGCCTGTTCTGTTGGTGGTCGCAGGTCCGCCTACCTTGCAGGCGCGTGTGGCGGCTCTGCCCCTCCGCGGGCCGCTGGACTTGTTCTGTCGGTGGTCACAGTTCCGCCTACCTTGCAGGCGCAGGGGGAGGGGGCGGCTCTGCCCCTCAGCAGGCTGCTGGGCCTGTTCTGCCGGGGGTCGGAGGTCCGCCTACCTTGCAGGCGTGGTTGGCAGCTCTGCCTCTCCACGGGCCACTGGGCCTTTTCTGTCTGTCGGTTGCAGGTCTGGCCTGTTCTGTTGGTGGTCGCAGGTCCGCCTACCTTCAGGCGCGTTGGGCAGAGCTGCGGGATTCTGGGCCTGTGCTGCCGGTGGGTCACAGGTCCGCCTACCTTGCAGGCGCGGGGGGCGGCTCTGCCCCTCCGCGGGCCGCTGGGCCTGTTCTGTCGGTGGTCAAGTTCCCTCTAACTTGCAGGCGCGGGGGGAGGGGGCGGCTCTGCCCCTTAGCAGGCCGCAGCGCCTGTTCTGCCTGTGGGTTGCCGGTCCTCCTACCTTGGAGGCGTGGTTGGCAGCTCTGCCCCTCCGCGGGCCACTGGGCCTGTTCTGTTGGTGGTCACAGTTCCGCCTACCTTGCAGGCACGGGGGGAGGGGTTGGCTCTGCCCCTCAGCCGGCCCCTGTGCCTGTTCTTGTTTTTTTTTTTTTTTTATTTGTGTACTCACAAAGAGTTTTGGTAGATTTCATAGAATTTTAATGAGAGATGTTTTTCTCTGAGTATGATAATTTTGTTATGACCAATTTTGATTAATTAAAATCCCCTACTTTTTTTTTGCCCTGAATCATTTTTTAAATATAAATGTATATTTTTAGTTGTAAGTGGACACAATACCTTTATTTTATTTATTTATTTTTATGTGGTGCTGAGGATCCAACCCAGTTCCTCACATGGGCTAGGCACATGCTCTACCACTAAGCTACAACTCCAGCTCTGCCTTGAAACATTTAAAAAAGTATTTATTTAAAATAATCCATTTTATATTTTAGTGCAGGTTAGATTCACAGAAAAATTTAGTGGAGGCAGAGAGCGTTCCCATATTCTTTTTGTATACTTTCCTCTGTACCCACTACCACACTAGAGCAATATATTTTTTACACTTGGTAAGCCTATATTGTCTCATCATTATCATCCAAAATCCATAGACTACATTGAAGTTACCTGGAAAATCCTCAAATACTTCAAATACTTGGTGATTAATCAGTGCAGTTCTAAGTATTATGTAGATCAAAGAAGAATTCTCAAGAGAAATTTTAAAATACTTAATACTAAATGAAAATGAAAATACAACTTATCAAAATTTGAGGAATGCTGCAAATTTATAGCAAAATTCAGATTTTGTTATGTAGTTAATTTTAATGCTATGATGGCTGGGCCCCTCCCTCAGAATTGGAAATCTCTTTGTTTGTGTTTTTTTTTTTTTTTTTTTTTAGATTTGTGTAAACCGTGTATGCGTGGAATCAAGAATGATTAAGGAAAGTGCAAAGACTTGTGCACAACGGTGCTCTGGACATGGAGTAAGTAATAAGTAAGCCCATGTTTCCTTGAATCACATCTCTCTTGGAAGCTTTTCAATGTCATTCATTAATTCATGTTTATTAGGTTCTGACTATGTGCCAGGCCCTTGTATATCTAGATTCAATTTGGAGCTAAATTGAGTAAACCCAGCAGCTATAATTATTGTTAAAAAACACTTTGATTTGAACTGAATTGATGATGACCTAAAAAAGTATATTATTATAGTTGTGTACTTTTCAAAAGATGTTAAATATTTCAGTAAATACATAAACTTGTTCACAAAAGGAAGATAATTCCTGTGTCTTGTGAATATAAGTGGTCATGGGAAATTTGATTTTATCTCCTTTTAAAAATATGCTTGCTTTTGTAGAGCTTTAGTTTCATAGCAAAATTTAGTAGACAGTGCAGAGATTTTTTGCATAGACCCTCTTTGACTCCATTTGTATACAACCTATCACAATTTCAACATCACAAACCACTGTGTAACATTTGTACAATTGATTATGTACACTGATATATAATTATTACCAAGAGTTCATAGCTTACATTAGAGTTGACTCTCAGTGTTATATTTATATCTTTGAGTTTTTGATTAATATATAATTACATGTGTCCACTCATATCAGCAGAGTATTTTTACTCCCCTAAAAAGCTTCTGAGCTCCATATATTCAATCTTCTCTTTCCTCTAACCCCAGGCAACCACCAATCATTTTACTCTCTCTGTTATTTTATTTTTTTTGAGTATCAAGTTATTGGAATCATAAATTATGTAGGCTTTTCAAATTGCTTCTTTCACTTAGTGATATGCATTTGATATGCATTCTCCACTTTTTTTCTTTTCTGGAGGTCTTTTCTTTTTTTAGTAACTTAAAAAATGAATTAATTTTAAGAGTAGTTTCAGGTTCACAGCAAAATTGGATTAAGATACAGGTAGTTCCCATATAGTTTGTCCCTCAAACATGCCTAGCTCTCTTCATTTTCAGCATGCCTCACCAGAGTTGTACAATTCTTATAATGGATGAACCTACATGGATACACCATCATCACCCAAAGTCTGCAGTGTATATTAGGGTTCACTTTTTATTTTGTATGTCTTATGGATTTTGACAAGTGCATAATGACACTTGTATCCACCATTATATCATACAGAGTATTTTTACTACCTTAGAAGTCCTCTGACTTTTCTCTTAATCCTTCCCTCCAACTTAACTCCTGGAACCCAGTGAATTTTTTTCTCCATAGCTTTTCCATAATATCATATTCCTGGAGTCATACATTATGTAGACTTTTTAGATTGACTTAGTTAGTAATATGCATTTAAGATTCCTCTATATATTTTCATGCCTTGATAGCTCATTTCTTTTTAATGTGAAATAATGTTATTTAATGTGAAATAATGTTACTTTGTCTTGATATACTGCAATTATTTATTCATTACCTGCTGAAAAACATTCTGGTTGCTTCTAAGTTTTAGCAATTATGAATAAAGCTGTTATAACTATTCTTGTTCAGGTTTTTGATGAAGAATATACATTTTCAACTCCTTTGTATAAAGGATTGCAACCAGAGAATCTTATGGTGGGAAGATGCCTAATATTGGAAGAGACTGTCAAAATGTCTTCCAACACAACTGCATAATTTCATGTTGCCCCACAACCTAGCCAGTATTTGATGTCAATGTTTTATAATTGGTCATTCTAGTGGTGTGCAGTGATACCCTATTACTATTTGAATTTACATTTCACTGATGGCATGTGGTGCAGATCATCTTTTCATGTAATTATTTGCCATCTGGATATCTTTTTTTGTGAGGTGTCTGGTACAGTCTTTTGCCCATTTTAAAATCAGGCTGTTTAGTTTCTTTTTATAGAGTGTTAAATGTCTTTTGTTTATTTTGAATACTAGTCCTGTATATGAATATGTCCTTTGTACGTGTTTTATCCCCATTAGTGGCTTATCTTCTTATTTCACTGACAGCATTTTTCAAAGAGGATAAAAATTAATTTGTATTAATATTAATTATTAGATATTTCTTTCATATATTCCCTAAGATATGGAACAAGACAAAGATGTTCAGTTTTACTATTCTTATTCATTACAGTACTGAAAGTCTTATCCAGAGAAATTAGTCAGGAGAAAAATACATGATACATAAAAAATACTTAAAAGTTAGGAAGGGAGAAAGTCAAATTATCCTTGTTTTCAAATGATATGATTCTCCTTAGAGAAAAACTAAATATTTTACCAAAAGACTACCAGCATTGATAAATGAATTTTGTAAAGTTTCAGGATACAGTATTAATATAAAAAATCAGTAGTTTTTATATACCAATAATAAAGTTGCTGAGAAAGAAATTATGAAAAAAATTCCATTTACAATGGCTACAAAAAATAAATACCTGGGGATAAATTTAATTAAGGAAGTGAAAGACATCTACACTGAAATTTATAAAATACCCATGAAAGAAATTGAAGAAGACACACACAAATAAACACAAATGAAAAGACCTTCCATGGAACAATTAATATTGTTAAAATGTCCATATTATTTGAAGCAATTTATACAAAATACCAATAACAAATCATAAAATTCATATGGAAGCCCAAAAGATCCCAAATAGCAAAAACAATCTTGAGCAAAAGGAGCAAAGCTGCAGGGCATTCTGATGTCTGTATTCCAGATATACTACAGTGCTTTAGTAATCCAAAACAAAAGGGTACTGGGATAAAAATATTCACATAGACCATTGCAACTAAATAGGATTCCATGAGGCAACCCCATGCAGTTATAGTCAACTGATTCTTGACAAAGGTGTCAAGAAATACACTGAAGAAAACACAACCTCTTCAAACAATCCTGGTGGGAGAACTGTATATACATAAAGCAGAAGTTTGAAACTTGGCCCCTGTCTCTCAGCCCATATGAAAGTAAACTCAAAATGGATCATAGACCTAAATGTAAGACTGCTATCTTTGTTTTGTTTTTGTTGTTGTTTTTGCCTCCATTCTCTTCTCCATAATTGCTGTACTAATTTACATTCTTATCAACAACATACAAGAGTTCCTTTTTTTCTACACTGTTGCCAATGTGTGTGTGTGTGTGTCTGTGTCTGTGTCTTTTCAATAATAACCATTCTGCTTGGGATGAGATATTATGGTTCCAATTTGCATTTCTAAGATAACTAATGATATTGTGCATTTTCCTATATATTAGTTAGTTATTTGTATTCCTTCTCTTGAGAAGTATATATTAAGATCATGCAACCATTTAAAAGTTAAGTTGTTTTATATTTTGTAGTTGAATTTTTTTAGTTTCCTATATATTCTGAATATCAATCCTTTGTCAGATGAGTAGTTAACAAATATTTTCTTCATTTTTTTCACTCCATTTATTACTACCTTTGTTTTGAAAATGCTACTTAGTTTTAAATAATCCCACTGGATGGTTTTTGGCTTTCCTTGCCTGTGCTTTTGGATCTTGTGAAAAAAATCATTCCCTACATGGATGTTATTAAATGTTTTCCCTATGTTTTCTTCTAATAGTTTCATGATTTTAGGTCTTACATTTAGGTCTATTTATAACCTATGCAATGTTTGGCATGGTGGGCTCACCATGGCTGAGGCTCACATTCCAGACCACCTGGGGCCACCACTCTGCCTCCCTGGGACAAGGATTTAGCTTTAGAATCAACCTAAATGCCCATGATTAGATGAATAAAGAAAGTGTGGTATATACACACAATGGAGTATTATTTAGCCATACAAAGAATGAAATTCTGTACTTTGCAGCAAAATGGATGGAACTTTAGGACATGCTGAGAGAAATAAGGTAGGCACTAAAAGACATATAACCCATGTTCTCTCTCATGTAGATATTTCAAAAAGTTGATCTGAATGTAGAATATGGATTAATAGTGACTGAGTGGAGTAGGGGGAAGGGAGAAGGGAGCGGGGGAAGGGAGTGGGGTAGGGAGAATCAGATAATGGGAACAAAATCAAAATTTCATAGGTTATAAATTTTAGTGTTCCAAAGCACAGTAGGGTGAATATAATCCACAATCACCTATTATATATTTTATGAAGAACTAGAAGAGAGGAACTTGAAGTCTCCAAGCATAAAGAAGTGATAAGGATATGGAAATTCTAATTTTCTTTATTCAATCTGTAAATACTATAAGCATTATTGAAATATCACCTCTAATCTATGAATACATATAATTGTTACATGTTAATAGAAAAAAATTATAAAAGGGCTTCCATTGACAAAATATGAGGCAATTTGGGCATTGTTATAAATAATGATTTTGATAGATTTTTGCTCATTGAATAAAGTAAAATAAATATGATTTTGTTTTAATAAATAAAAAAAATTTAATAAGTAAATGTATTACATGGTATTTACAGTAATATCATTTACTATTATTGATTATTGTTAATGACAGTAACTGCATAAATGAATGGGGAGGAAGGAAAAACTTTCCTTACAGTATAAGCAATATAGAAAGAATGGGGGGGTTAAAGAATTATCAGTGGATTCTAAAACTAGTGGGTGGAAATTTTATAAGGAGTGATATATTTACATAATCTTAAATTATTTCCTTATGTGTTAGTCAGCTTTTCATTGCTGTGACCCAAGTACCTGACAACAACAACTTAGAGAAGGAAAAGTTGGGCTTCATAACTTCAAAGATTCAGTCCAAGATCAGCCAACTCCATTTTTCTGGACCTGACCTAAGGCAGAATGTCTTTGTGGAGGGTGGTGGAGGAGAAAAGCTGCTCAACTTATGACAGCTAGAAAGCAGAGAGGGAGAAAAGGGGCAGGGGGACGGGAATGAATGTGTGTGCATGAGAGAGTCAGAGAAAGACAGAGAAAGTTCATGCATGAAGGTATAACCCCAAGGGCAAAATAACCTCATAATTTGAAGAAACTATTGTGTGGAAATTGTAGGCAGCCATGCCGCAACAGCCTATAGTTACCACACAATAGTTTATTCAAATGATAAATCTGTCAAATGGATTAATCTCCTGATGACATTTTATTATTATTGCCCCAAAGCCCCACTTCTGAATCTTCCAAAACATGAGCTTTTTAAGATTAACTAAGTGACATGAGTGATGATGCAATACTGGAACAAACTGACATTAGAGGAACATCAGTTTTGTAAAGAGTTTCAGGGGAAAAGATTCATGTTCTTAGCTGTAATATTTAGATTCAATGTAAGACACCCCAAATTGAGAGATGTTTTATATTATTTTGAGAGGTAGCATAGTATAATGCTCAAGACTTTCTTAGTTTAAATGCTGGCTCTCTCCGTTAGTAGTAGTTTGACTTTTGGAAAGCTAAATATGTATGTCTCAGTTTCTTCATTTGTAATGTGGGAATGATAATAGTTCTTTTATGCTTTTAGATCTGAAATGTGTTCCCAGAAACTCATGTATTAGGAAATGTAGCAAAGTTCAGAGGTGAAAGATGGAATCATGAGGGCTCTGACTTCCTAAGCGCACTAATTCTTTTGATGGATTAATAATTGGATTACACTTAGTGGAAGGTAGTGAAAATGATAAGCAGGTGGAGCATAGTTGAAGGAAGTAGGTCACTGGAGACTTGGCCTTGGCACTGTATCTGTCCCTGACTGTTTCCTATTTCTCTCTGCTATCTTACAGGGCTGTTATGAGTATTTAATGAGTAAATCCATATAAAGTGCTCAGAATAGAGACTCACAGCTAGTAAGCACAATAAATGTGTTTGCTGTCGTCATTAATTATTTAATTAATTACATTTATTAATTACATTAATTAAATACATTTAATTACATTTCTCAGTTACAGAAAAAAATCACTTCCTAAAGTTATACTATATCTAAGCATCTAGATGCTCAGATTACAAATGCTTTTAATTAAAAATCAAGCAAATGCAGATAAAACAAAATCCTGTCCTGGTTAAGGGTAGTTTTAGGCCAGTAAATATTTAGCGTCCAGTCTGGGGAACAGTAAAGTACTTTATGTAGAGGCAAATGCCTCAAACTATCAACATAAATCACTGAATGTGGAAATGGGAATTGAGGCATACAATCAGGTTGGAGCTGATTTTAGCTTTCTCAAGTATATCACTGTAAAGGTAGCATTTCAATTAGAATTTAAGTAGTATGTGTTTTTGAAATTGCAAACTAAATTTGCAGATAAATATTTGAAGGTGCTGTATGTTCTTAGTCACTTTATAGTTCTTTTTTTTTATTCTCCTCCTCTTCCTGCTCTTCCTCCTCTTGCTCCTCTTCCTCCTCTTCCTCTTTCCTCCTCCTCTTCTTTTTTGGTGTGTATGTTTGAGTCTTTAAGAAACCAAACATTTATTTTGTACAATTATCTCTCTAAATAAATCACTATAGAAATCAAATTATGTTAGGTAAAGATGCAAAACTAAACATGATGATATATCTCATAATTTCACTTTCAATGCAAAAATATTTTTTAAAAAACATCCAAATTTTAAATAATGATCCTAGGTGTGCAATTCCCAAGGTGTGTGCAACTGTTCTGATGGTTACCTGCCTCCAGATTGCCAAACAAGTGCCAGAAGTGCTTTTGTGACTGTAAAATCAGGCAAGTACTCTCTCTTTAGATAAAATTTTCAAAATTTATTTTTTTTATCTTTTTTTTATTGGTTGTTCAAAACATTACAAAGCTCTTGACATATCATATTTCATACATTAGATTCAAGTGGGTTATGAACTCCCATTTTTACCCCAAATATTTTTTTAGTTGTAGTTGAACACGATACCTTTATTTTATTTATTTTTATGTGGTGCTGAGGATCGAACCCAGTGCCTCACACATGTGAGGCGAGCACTCTACCGCTCAGCCACAACCCCAGCCCTCAACCACAACCCCAGCCCTCTCAAAATTTCTTAACCTCACTAAACTAACATTAGATTTTTATCACTTGAAGCGATACTAACATTTTTAAGGTAATTTGAGTTTTCTCAAAGAATGTGATCCAAATATGCCTTCTTATTCTTTCTCTTTTTTATAATATTAAAATATCATAATTGAATCTGAATATCTTTGAAACTTTTTCCTTACTGATACTGATACCATTGACTTTCTCCTTTAGAATATTTTTCAGCTGGCCTCTATATGATTGAGATTTCAACTGTAAACAAATAGTATTTACTATATCTGGTACTATTACTATGTTTATGTTATAGAAGAAATGAAATAGAAGACAAAATTTTATTCCAAAGGAGTTTGTAGTTTAAATGAGAACAATCTGTAAATAGCAGCTTAAGAGTTTACAGAAGGGACACCAGCACAAATTTCAGTTTATTCTTTCTTTTATTGCCTGTCATTCATGTGTCCACTGAGTTAGCAAATACTTATCAAACTCTTAATATATACCAGAGGTTGATCTAGGCACTGGGGATATATAGGGAGCAAAGCAAATCCCTCACGTGGTGCTGAGACTATGCTCAGTGCTTACACAAGTGTCAGAATTAGGGTTATGAATTGAAGTCTCCTAATTTTTATGCTAGCACCCTTTATTAGCACCACAATGACTTTACATATAAAATTACAGCCCTAATATCAAAAGCCAACAATCTACTAAATAAAAACTGAATATATACAAATACAGTGAGATTTTTTGATGATCCTGTCCTTAGAAAATATTGAAAGGGTGCAAATTTGGATAACTTTGTGATTACACCATCTCATATTGTTTATTATTGCATCCTTTGACCCACAACTAGATTTTGTTGTAGCTTCTGTACCATGTTGAAAACTCTGGAACCTTTTGGGAGTTTAGTTTACATTTTTAGAAAAACAGATTTTATATATATATATATACATATATATATATATATATATATAGTATTATGTATATATTTGTAAGATACTATGTATATATATGTATATCTTTAAATATTATGATCCTATAATTGTTTTTCCATGCTCCTTGAGTAACAAAAATTCAGAATATTTTAGTAAATTTGTTGCAACCTGAAAGTAAAATTGGATAGCCTAATTTTTAATGTACTTTTGTTTTTAGGTTCAGTCATGGAGAAAGCTTCTGGGAATACTATGAAGAACTGGCTTCTAGGTTTCTACATTGGTTCACCTATTCTCATCATAGTAAGCATAATAGTTGTGGTGTGGAAGGGAGTGAAAAAGTGGTTTTCCAAAGAAGAGGAATTCCTAAGTAGCGAGTAAGTTGAATTTGTGTTCTGAAGCTAACCTTTAGTAGCATTTGAATCTAATAATGTGTAAGGTAATATGAGCAGCAACAACTTGCGTTTTATCAGGATTTTGAGTCAATATCTCATTTAGTTGTGTGAGGTGTTTGTGAATTTTTCTTTTGAAAGATGCAGAGATTTGGGAGTATAGTTAAATAACTTGCCAAAGTCATTGCTCTGCCCTTAACTCCCACCCAGTTAATCCCATCAGGAGATTAATCCACTGATTGAGTTAAGACTCTTGTAACCCAATCAACCCAGGTTTTCTACAGGAGCATCACAAGTGTTTCTTAAAAATGTACATTTCTCATGTATCCTTCATCTATTTTTTTCCAATGACAATATCTTATATTAACATATTGCCTTTTCACAGCCAGAAAATTGGTATTGGTACAATACTATTAATAAAATTAAATACCTTATTGGCTGGTATTTACATGCATTCATTTGTGTCTGCAGAGTCTTACGAAATTTTATCATATGATTTGTTCACCAACACCACAATTATCACCATTCCTTTTTGAAATCCTACTTTTTAAATTCTAGGTTCAGTCTCTTTTCTCCACCTGGCTTTATTGAAATATGATTGACAATAAAATTATTTGTATTTAGGAGTATGACATTATGATTGGATATACATTTGCATTGTAAAATTATTACTACAATCAAGATAATTACACATCCATCACCTCATCTATTTACTCCTTTTTCTGTGTTTATGGGGGGAACACTCAAGATCTACTCTCAGTAAGTTTCAAGTATACTATACACCATAATTGTTTTTAAAAATTAAAAATAGCCACATAACATGACCATAAAATTAAGAAACACAAAAAGAAAGAAAATAAACTAATAAAGATGTATGCTTCTATTCCATTCCTCCACATATTTGGAATTTCTGATGTCCCAGTTTATAAACTTTGATTTTGCCTATCTCTTAAAATATTAATGTAGTTATTATTTTTAAATTTTTCATAGTTTTCATTCCAAAGGTATAAAGAGTTTTATATCTTTCATTTATATTTTCGTAGCATTCTGAATTTGTCTGTGTGGTTACTCTTACCAGTGTATTTTATATGTGTATTCTTCTTACTCATTAACATCTTTCTCTTAAAGTTTGAAGAACTTCTCTTAGCATTTTTTTTGTGGAAAGGTTTAATGGAGATACATTTTCTAAGGTCTGTCTGAGGATGTCTTTACATCTCCTTCATTTCTAAAGGATAGCTTTGATGGGTACAGTTTTAACTCTGTGGTTCTGTGAAATCTCATTCCATTTTTTCTTCTGGCTTGTGAAGTTTCTGCAAAGAAGTCTGCTAGCAGGTGAATTGGGACACCTCTATGTGTTGTGTTCTCTGTCTTGCTGCCTTTGGAATGTTTCCTCCATCTTTAACCTTTGAAAGCTTGATTATAGTGTGCCTTGGAGTAGGTTTGGTTGAGAATCAAACTGGTGACTTTTGACTTTCCTGTATCTTGATATATAATTTCTTCTGTGTGTGTTTTTTCTTATTATTTCTTCAAGTTTTCTTTTATTATTTCTTCAACATTCTCAAGTACCTCTGGAATGCCAAATAGTTAAACATTTGCTCTTAATGATGTCCCAAAGTTTCTGTTATCTTTCTTTATTCATCTTCTTTCTTTTTTTCTTTTCCTACTAAGTATTTTTCAAAAAGGCTGTTTTTTGAGCACCCTAATTCTTCCTTCTGTTTGATCTACTCTGATATCATGCTTCTATCATATTTTAAATTTTGCTTAGTTTATGTTTTTAGCTTTCTGTTTGATTTTTAAAATTGCTTTCATCTCTTGTTAAGATTTCTCTTTTAGAGTATTGAATTGTATTAAGATCCTTGAGTTTCCTTAAAATAATAACCCCTTTTTTTTGGTATGTGTTGTCGTTTGTACATTGAATCATTAGATATTTATTCCAGTTTTTTTGTAATGTGGCTTTGTACCTTACTTCCCCCAAAATTTATTTTCTGAGTTTGCAGATGCCTCTACTATTCAGCACTAGATGGCACTGTGAATCCACAGTTGCTGTGATTCTGCTATTGTTGCTGTTTCATCACTAGAGGGTGCCCCAAGTTCAGGTGTGTTCCAAATGCACAGCTGATGTGTTTAGCATTAACTGGATGAGTAACTAAACAGGGCATCTTGGATGTGAATAATATTACAGTAAACATGAGAGTATATGTATCTCTTTGAGGCCATCATTTCCTTCGGATGTGTGCACAGAAGTGGGATTACAGGAGGACATGGTAGTCTTATGTCTAATCTTCTGATCTGATCAACCTGTGGTTTTCCATAGCAGCTGCACCAATTTACATTCTCACCTATAGCTCACATGTGTTCCATTTTCTCTATGTTCTTGCCAACAATCATATTTATTCTCTTTCTGATTTTTTTCTCTCTCTCCTCTCTTTCTCTGATAGTAGTCATCCTAAAAGATGTGAGGTGGTATCTCATTAAGCTTTGATTTTCATTTCCAAAATTTTTACTGTTATTAAGCACTTTTTAATATATCTGTTGGCCATTTGTATATCTTCTTTAGGGAAGAAGAGTCTTCTTAAATACTTTGTTCCTTATATTTTTTTGGAATTAACCCCTCTTCCAATATTTGAACCCTTTCCATATATTACATTTTAATTTGTTGATTGTTTTGTTTTCTATGCAGATTTTTTTTAAGTTCCACTTTATTTTTGCCTTATTGCCCAGGCTTTTGGTGTCATACCCAACAAATTATTGTGAAGTCAAATGTCAGATAGCTTTTGGTAGTGTGGTCATTTTAATAATATTGATTATTCTAATCCATGAATACAGCCTACCTTGCAGTTTATTTGTCTTCAATTTCTTTCATCAATTGTTTTATTTTTATTGATGTTGTAAATGGAATTGTTTTCTTAAATTTCTTTTTCAGAGAGTTTATTATATATAGAAATAAAACTGATTTTTGTATGTTGATTTTATATCCAACTTTAATTTGTTTATTATTTCTAATAGTTTTGGAGTGGAGTTTTAGGAACTTTCATATGTAAGATTATGTCATTTACAAACAGACAATTTTCCTTGTTTCTTTGCAATTTGGATGCTCTTTCTTTTTTTTTTTTGTTTTGCTAATTCATTAGGGTAGTCTTTCTAGTACTATTTTGAATAGCAGTGAAGACAATAATTATTCTTGTTTGCTTCTTGATCATAGAGAAAATTCTGAAAGCTTTGCAATAAGTATGATATAACTGTGGGCTTCTAATATATGGCCATTATGATGTCAAGAACTATCCTTGATGGATATTTCAGTTATTTATAGTTTTAGCTGAAAAAAAGAAGCCACTTAGAACATTCAGGTATGAGTCTGTACATGGACATGCACTTTCTCTCTGTTGGTTGATACCCAGGAGTAGAATGGCTGGGTAATATGGAAGGTGTATGTTTAACTTCTAAAGAAAGAGCCAACAACATCATTCTAAATGGAGAAAAATTGAAGGCATTCCCTCTAAAAACTGGAACAAGATAGGGATGCTGTCACCACTTCTATTCAACATAGTTCTTGAAACACTGGCCAGAGCAATTAGACAGATGAAAGTGGTTCTCCATCCCCTTTCTACTCTAATATTCTTTCCCTGTGGTCTTCAGCTTTCTTGGCCTTCATATACTCAGCATTCTGTCACTTTAACCTAGTGAGACTGGTGGGAACTTGCCTGGGAATGTCCCTTGAAGTGCACTATGACATGGATATTGCCCAGCAGTAAAAGGGTCATTAGTAGGGCTCATTTTCTTTTCTTCCCTCAAAGTTCACCATACTGCATTGTATACTATCTAATGTCTGAAAATCCTTCTTTCATATGTTTTGTATGGATTTTCAGTTGTTTCAGGCAGGAGGGTAAATATAGTCTTTCTTCATCTTGGCGATAGATGGAAGTGTATGCCTTTATGATTTGTAAGTTCACTTTAACAGGTTATTTAAAATCTCTGTCTCATAAAGATTTTCTCAGATCACTTTTATTTTTCCAAGTCTTCCATCTCTACACTGTGCTAGACTTAAGGATTCTATTCCTACAAAGATCTCTATGGCGATTACATATGCTTTTGTATGAATTTTTAAAAAAATCATTTGTAGATCATAGTATATGAATTCATTGTTTTTCTCTGGTGTTATTAACTCCAAGTGGTATATAAATCATATAGTAGTATGAAATTATATAGTTGTGTTGTAGAAAAATAGATGTAGGTTATTTTATTTTTGCTTTTCTTAAGGCAAAAATATTTAAAATAATTGCTATGCCCAGGGTTTAAGAATTTGTAAGATTTTGATCTGGGGGCCTGAAATTGTACTTTTTGTAGGCTTGAGATTCCCATTTCTCACTGTGGTATATATACACAATGTAGTATTACTTAGCCATAAAGAAGAATGACTTTATGATATTTGCCAGCAAATGGAAGGATCCAGAGACTATCTTGCTAAGTGAAGTAAGCTGGTACCCAAATACCAAAGGTAAAATGTTTTTTTTTCTGATAGATGGAAGCTAACCCACAATAAGGGGGTGGAGAGGGGAGGATGAGAAGAAGAGTAGATTAGACAATGGAGAATAGAGGGAAGGGAGGGAGGATAAGCAAAGGAACGACAGTGGAATGAATCTGACATGGTTTTCCCAATCACATATATGAAAACAACACAGTCAATCCCACCACCGTGTACATCTATAAGAATGGGACTCTAAGTAGAATAAGATATATTCCATGCTTGCATAATTATATCAAAATGGATTCTGCTACATATATAACTAAACAAGAACCAATAAAAAAGAGCAAATTTGAAAAAAAAAGAAAAGAAAAAGAGATTCCCATTTCTCTTATTGGTGCATTTTTCCATTGTATGGAAAATTTCCATTGTATGCACATTTTCCTGTTACATTCCCAAGGCCACTGGTCAGAATTTTTATTATTTCTATTTCATGGGTGACATGGCCTTTCCTGGCTGTCAGGAGAAATTAAAGGGTTTAAATAACAGCTTCTCCACCTTACAAAGGCCTGGGACCTCAAGTTCTCAACAGGGCTATCCAATCTCTAGTCCTAAAATGTATAACTGGATTAGATATTTCTGTAATCACTCAACCTTAGCTACTAGTTACCTGTAAGCTCTGTTTTATCATTTTTATTGACACAGGTGAAGTCTTGCTCTGTTGTTAACCTCAGTTATGTATTAAGTTTGTATGTATATATGTGTGCACTTTCTCAACACTTCTGTATATGAGGATTGGAAAGGGGAAAAGGCTTTGCCAACCACCTCTACCAGATTGTCCAGAAATAGTATAGGTTTTAATTTTAAAAATGTTATCAATTCTTTAAAAATGAATAAAAGGTTAAAGTTGGGACATTAAGGTCAGAATCAGACATTCAGGATCAAATGTATAGAATGTATT